GACTGGGTTTTAGCTCAAACCCAGGACATTGCTGCTGCTCTCTCGGTGCATACTGATATGAACCTGTACTTGGTAGGCACCGACATGAGCTTCCATTGCTGAAGTGATAACTATTTCTCAATTTCACAGTGCTGGCATTGCACTTGCACTCACTGTTGAAGTACACAGGGGTGCTGCGTTGGCTTTTGGAGCGTTTGAACTCCATCAGCAGTTGCCTCACTCTGACCTCACTGGCAAAGCTCCGTCACCTGGAGGAAGTGCCTATGGTATCGAGAGGCCCTGTGTATTTTATTCCAAACAGTTTTGCTCTTAAAGAATATACACAAAGACTGCCTCCAAGAAAAATATCAGAGGGCTTGACTTCCCATCCCACTGTGGTGGGTATGTAGAGGGCTTGGATTAGCAGAGGAGTCGGAGAACTGTGAGATGGGGACACTGACTGCGTTGCCGAGCATCCATCAAACCCCGGGGTTGTGTCACCTGGCGCAAGGGTATGCTCGCATGGCTGTGGCTGCTGCTCACATTCAACACCATTCCTCTAAACTTTATTCCTTTTGCTTAAGGACGAAGGGCTCGTATTTCCTGATAATTCAACTGATTCCATTTTTACAGTAATCAGAAGGAATTTTGATGTGTGCTCTGATACTTGCTTTATGGTGCAGCTGTGTCTGTATTTTTGGTTCTGTGTATGTTTGTGTCTATGTCAAATACATTTTCCACGCTCTGAGGTGCTTAGTCTAGGGAGATCCATTTTTTATGTTTTGCAGAGCACTTTTTGGCCTTCCCAGCACTTGGGAATTTTCTTACTTCTCTTGATCTGTTAAATATCTCTACTTCTTCTTACAGATGAAAAACTTTTTAAATAAAGAATCTGTCAGTAATGGGGTACAACTGCAGTAACACTTGTGTTAACTGGGTTTTGGAATTGGCAATTCAGGCCTTTTTTTTGTTTGTTTGTTTTCCTTGTGTGTGTCTCATTTTTTATTTCATTTTAAGTCTGTAGGCAGCCACTCGTTTCAGAACCAAGTACTAAACCTTAGCTTCTGGAAAAGGAAGGAAATCTTAAACACTTCGTCACGTTAATGTGTTGGTTTGAGGAATTTTCTCTTTGTAGAAAAGCTCCTGTATTCTTCCCTTCTTGTTGTCTCTAGAGTGTCTTGTGTCAGGACATTTGTCACTGCTGTGTTTTGAGGTTTCTAATCCTTACAGTTTAAATTATTTGTAACAAAAAAAAAAAGAGGAGGTTGAGTTACACTTCAGGTATATTAAATATTAAATATGAGCTTTTTGAGATGTAAAGCAGCATCAGTGAATTTTGTATGCCACCTGTTGATGCAGCAGTACCTTGCTCGTCTCTAGTATTTTCTGCCGATTGATGTAGTTGTTCTTTATAAATCAAATTCAAGCCTCTACCTTTTTTTCTGGTCCAGAGAAAATCTGAAGTGCACACTGCAAGGCGTTACGCACATGAAAAAAAATTGAATAAACCCAAGTTCCTTAAATGTTCTACTTTTGTCTTATCTGGAACACCATCTGATTGCTTTCTTGGAGTAAGAAATTGCTCCATTTGCCTTCAATCACGTGAGCTTTGGTGTTGAGCTCCCTAACTGGGTGCTTTCTAATGTTTTTCAGCAATATTTTATCTTGCTGATCATCACGGATGGAGAGATCACTGATCTGGACCAAACCAGGCAAGCGATTGTTAATGCCTCCAAGCTGCCGATGTCCATCATTATTGTTGGCGTTGGGGAAGCTGATTTCAAAGCAATGGAGTTCCTTGACGGGGACGATGGTGTCCTGAAGTCCCTGGCAGGAGAGCCAGCTGCACGAGACATCGTCCAATTTGTGCCTTTCCGACAGTTCAAAAACGTGAGTTGCCTGTAACTTCAGAAGAGCCCCGGTGCCGGCATGCTGCGGTTGTTACAGCTGGAAAAGGAGTGTGGGTCTAGACAAAGCAGCCAGCTCCACACTCCAAGCGTTGTCCAAGCTGCTTCTTCCCAGTGAGAGCTGAGATGTTTGCTTCTGTGTTCAAAACCACGCGCCTTGTCGCACCTTTCCGTAAGGAGCTCTTGTATCAGTGACTTAGCGTGCTGTCTCTCGGCTGCTGCAGTTACAGGGGTGCAGGAGATCTTTTCTCTCCTGGGATGCAAACATTTAGGCAAGGAGCTGAGATCACGTTGTCAGGCTCCTCTGATGTTGATTCCCATGAGTGATTTAACACGAGATAAGTCTTCCCTGCTGTTGAAAGCGATCCTCTTTTTTCCCAGCTCCTCCCTCCTTTCGCTGTCAGCACCGGCAATGGTGTACATTGCACAGTGGATTGAGTCAAAGAGCGGAGTCAAATGAAAACCCAAACCAGGAGGAATTGCTAGCGGCTGGGGCAGTTTCCCGCCCAGATCAGGGCAGTTCAAAGGCTGCATGAGCCTGGGCTTGAGGTGAGAGCAGTGCAGGGGTGGGAACAAGTGATTTTCCTGAGCGTTGCTCACTGAGACTGGCTGGAAGTTCTCCTAAAACTGCAGCAAGGAACTCTTGAAGCAGGGAGTGAGATGTGGCAGGTGGGACCTGCGCTCTGAATTCTGTAGAGAGTTTGTCACGGGGCTGGTAAATCCTTTCTCTGAAGTGTTTCTGACTTTTTCACTCTGTTCTCCTCACAGGCTCCCCGGGAAGCGCTTTCGCAGATGGTTCTGGCCGAAGTACCGAAGCAGCTGGTGTCGTACTACAAATTGCAGGGATGGCCACCTCTGAAACCACCGGAGATCAAGGCGCTGTAGGTTGCAGCCTGACCCTGGCCACCTGTATCCATGGGGTGCAAGGAGCTGTCCGTTTGCACCCACGCTCTCCCTCACGCGCTGTGGGAGCTCACTGCCTCGGTGTCGCACCAGTCACACTAATACTCTCACCTGCTTGTGCTCGGTATCCTTGACCTTTCCTGTTCCGAACTGGAAGAAATGTAAATAGGGGAAAAGCCACAAATGCTGGCACTTTTTTGTCACAGCAAAACCAGACCTTGTTGGTTTTTCGCCTTGCAGCAGTGACGCATCACAGCCCTCATCGTTGCTTGACGATGGTGGTATCAGAGGGGGCGCGTGCACTGAGCTGCTCACACAGCGCTGCTTCAGCGCTCAGCTCAGCAGAAGTGTTGCCATCGTCTTCGCTGTAATGATCCTCATCACGTATTCCCAGATACTTTTTTTTTCTTCACTCAATCTGCCTTGGGAGTAGGAACCCTTCTGTCTGCTTGGTACCAAGGTCTGTCGGGTGAATGCCTGAGGTAGTTCCTGTTGTGCCTTCATGAAGTGCCATATATTTTTATATGTAGAGATTTATTTTTAAGTTTCAGTGACCGTACTTCTTTGCCATCTATTTTTTAGTCACATTTTTCTAATAGCGAAAATTGCTTCTGTGATGGCCTCTTGCTTGGAGCCATTACAGCAATCTAAGAACACTGCACTTTGCTTATTTGGGAGGGGGATTAATCATTAATTAATCGGGGATGGGAGTAATGAGTCACATTAATGTGACTTTCAAAATCCAGCAACTGGAAACCTTGAAATCAAGATGGTTTGAGTGATTTCTTTGTGTCACAGAAGTTACAAAATGAAGAAGTAGCTGTATGTGGAACTCCTTGTCCTCAGAAGTGCGAACGGTGTGTTACGTGGTTCGGGGACTGTAGAACGTGCAAATGCCAGCAAAGCACAGTTGTTTCGAGAGATGGGACTTGATGGTTGATTTCGAAATACAGATAAAGAAACTCGAGCTTGTCATTGCACTACACGTGGTCGTCACTTTCAGTTCCAGAAATAAATGATCTGCTTTGTCTTACATAACATGTCCAGACTCCGGTTTCTTTTCTGAACTTTTCCGGCAGTGTTTGATGGAAGGTCGTTGCTCTAGGACCAGCCTTGTGAGGTAGCCTAGGTGTGATGAGCTGCAAAAGGAGAGCAAGTTGTCCATCATCATTGGTTTTGTTACCTGTTAATCACTAAGACTGCCGAATGGATATCCTGCAGTCCTGTCCTGCCGTAAGGTCAGCTGTTTCTTTACTGTGAAATTAGGAAAGAACTTCTCTGTTCCACTGGTAAACCCAGGAAATGGTGAGAAAACGCTGGAAGACTGCCCTGTTTATTCAGGCTGTGAAACCGGCAGGTTACAAATCTTTGTGAAAGCAGAGCCGGGGGTTGAATCCACATCCGCAACTAGACCAGTCTTTCTGGATGGGATGTGCCATCAAACTCGGACGTAGCTTGTGTTACCACGCGATGTGCTCTCCCAGGTCCCACAGGGAGCAGCAGCTTCCCTAGAGCAGCCGGGCTTGCCCTCCTCAAGTGTTGCATCGTCTCACCTGCAGCACCAATTCTCTTGCATTTAGATTCCTGAAGGAGACCAAGCAGCCTCTGTTCTTGTGGCTGCCTAAACTAAAATGTGTTACGAGTGTGGGAGAGAGGGAGGAAAACTGCCGAGTCTCTGAGAAACGGCACCGCGGTTAGGAGCATCCTTTACTCATGTTTTCAGCTGCTTTCAACCTCTTTTCAGAGCTCTCCTTCCCTGTATGAGGCATCCAAGAAGCCTCAGGCTGTTTTTCCTGTATGTGTGTATTATTTATTTTTAATTTTTTAATACATTTCTTCAAAGGATATTGACAGCAGTGGTTCTGAAGGCTCATGATTCCCTTGATTGGACTGAGAGATACCAGAGGCGGTGTGTAGCACTTGGCTTCGGTGAATGCTTTCTGTGGCAAGATGTTGGAAGCACATTGGGACTTACTTTCGCTGCAGCCTTGAGGGGCAGAAGATGAGCTCTGAGGCAGCAGAATGCATAGAGGGAGGTTCATTGAACCTCTCCTTTTTTTAAACCTCTGCCAGTTCCCACACAAAAGAAATAGAGTGAATCCTGTCTTGCTGCACCGGCTGTGAGGAGCGATGTCGCTGGCTGCTCTGCAGCTCAGCAAGGTGTCTCCAGGTGCTGGGCTCATTCCTAGTAGGAGAGACCTTGCCCCTTTTGAGGAGGAAGAGGCCAAGACATGATAGAGGCAGGACAGAGGAGGTTCTTCCCCTTGTGGGAGCTGACGAGAATTTGAAGGAGGTGCTGTTCCCCCACAGGTAAGTGGCTGAAATGTGAATGAGCAAAGGGGTACAAGTCCCACGGTTGTCGTTTGAGAGCAAAAGCTGCATGGACGTGGGCCTGGGTGAGAAGCTGCTGAGCTGGGACTGCACAGTTTTGCCTGTTTTCTCTCATTCTTGGCTTTTCTTAGGGCTCCTGGATTTAGAGGCAGCGCGGATGGCTGCGGGATGTTTTGGTGAGAGGCTGGGAGGGGTCTCCTGCCTTGGGCTGCACTGGGTGTAGCTGGAATGCAGATTTACATTTTGCTTGAGGTAGGGCTCAAGTTTTCTTTCTCAGGAGAATGTGCTGTTCTCACCCGGTTCCCAGTAGCATGGGGAACACCCCAGAAGTGTCTGTCCTGGCCTTGGACAAGACTGAGCAAGCATCCTTGTCCTTGCAGTCCCCAAAGGTATTTCAGCCCCAGGGCTTTGTATAAATCTGAAGCTATTGCACGTGGGAGCTCACTGGAGAGAGGGTTCTTGCTTCTAGGACACCTGGCAGTAAGTACCAGTGACATCTCATGCCAGGCTATCCCTGCTACCGACAGAGCTCACTCCTCCATGGGAGCTAATGCTCCAGCCCCCTTCCTTGCCCAGGCAGCTTGTTGGGCTAAGGGCCATACCTGCGGTCTAAAATACTTGGTTCCCCCAAGGGCTGTCACCAAAACTGAGGCACTGTCTTCAGGTGAATGCAAGTGGTGGCACCGCTCCACCGGGAGGTGATGGCTTTTGATCAGCTTTGCACGGATAGTGGATCAACCCGTTGGCAGCACGCTTCGGTGGTCTGGATGTCTCATTAAACAGCCTGAAGCGCACCCCTTGATTCCCCTCCAGCTGTGATGGGGTGCACTGAGCTCTGTGCTGCCCTAAATTGAACGGCTCACGCATTTGCATTCACAAAAGTGCTGCATAACTGCTGCCCTGCTGTGTTTTGCTGCTGCGCTGTGAAGAGGCATCCTCCCCACTGAGGCTTGTTTCCATAGGCACCGCTTTGCCGCTGCTCCAGGAAGCTCTTGTGCAAGAGGGAAATAAAGGGAGTAACCCCAGGGCTTGCTTCACAGCAGTTTGGCATTGCACAAGCGTGATTCACTCCTTGCTGTTTGCGGAGGCCAGGTGCCCTGCCCTGTACCCCGTGTGTGGATGCAGGTGTTTGGTGCTGGGGCCCACAGGAGGAAGAAATACTTTCCAAATCCTGCTGAGCTCATAATTGTACAATTGCTTCAGTCTGGCTTTAATCTGTGCTCTGGATGAGCTCCAGCATCTCTCCTTTGCCAGTTCTCCTGCAGGTGAGATGAGCTTGATCAGGCCAAGCTGGTGAGTGCAGCTGTGAGCACAGCTGGCTCCTGGCACCATGTGCCCCGGGTCTGCCTCCCGCACCTCCAGCCCTGCTGCAGCTCCCACCTCACCACCCATGGGTTTTCCGTCCTGCAGAGAGCTGGCACCCAGGCTGCGGCCTCTGTCCCCACGCAGTGCTCTGGTGTCCACCTGCCCCAGCTTAGCTCCTCTGGCCCCTCGCATCGGTG